TGTTGGAGGATGTGTGTATTTTTGCTTGGTTTGACTCTCGGGCACGCTCTTGCCCTTTTTCCTGGGGTGGCCTCAGGAGGAGAATGAGATGTAATAAGGATGCAGAGAGTCAGGGTGGTCCTTCTTAAAGGAATGCACTCAAGGCAGGCATTTAAAGCCTCCCTCGTGGAGAGCCTGCTCACTGTCTAGCCTCCTTGCTGTTCGCCACAATACTCAACTCTCCTGTCTCCGTTTCTCCAAAAAACCGTTTGCAAATGAGGACATTTCTCACGCATAATCTAACTGCACATGAGGCACAAGGAATGTGCCCTGACTCAAAACTGAAGGCAAAGTATGTTTCTTTGTTAGGGGGAGTCTTAGCAGTACCCTGGCAAGATGGTGCACAGAGCACCATTAAATATCAGCATACAAACCTGTCTCCTGGATTTATATTCACCAACAAATCATGATTATGTTCCTCCCCAAAATAGTGGTACTTATTTTTGCATCATCTCTGAAATAGACTCTTTTGCATTTTGTCTGACAAACAGAACAGCCCATTTAGCACAACCGTGCTCAGTAGACGTGTTCTGTCTGCTGTCTGTGCCTTTACCTAGTCCAGTTCATTTTCTCAGTTTCAGCTCTCTGTTGGTGTTCTGAAGTGTGTGTGTGTGTGTGTGTGTGTGTGTGTGTGTGTGTGTGTGTGTGTGTGTACGTTTACAGGTACCTTATCTATGATAGGTCGGAAGCCAGAAATGGACCCCAAGTGAATTTTATAGCATATTTTAAAATGCTACCTTTTTCCATTGCCAGCTGTGTGTGGAGTGAGGGATGTTCTGATGTTGCAGGAATCATTTTGTGTTTCAATTTAAAATTCAATTCAATTCACATACTTGTAATTTAACAGCGTGGCAAACATCTCCCCATCTTTAATAAGACACCATTCCACATTGTTACCATGTGTGGAAAAGAGATGGGGACCTCCTCACCCCACCATGCACACACACCTATCAGCGGTGGATGTGAGTTCTGTTAGTACCCTGTACTTGCTGGGATCCAATCTCTCATGTCTAATTTAGGCTGAAACTCAAGACAGGACCTGAAAGATCTATTATGGCTGTCCTGCTTGACGGCTTGGGAGAGGGGATTAATTCGGAGATGTATGCAACCAGCTTGAAATGTCAGGGATCTTGATAGATAAAAATAAGAATAAAGGACTCTTTAGTAAGTGAAGTCCTACTCTGGTGTCTTATTTTGGTCCTGTGACAGGGCCATGTCACTGGCATGTCTAGTCTGTCACCTTTATTACAGTGTCATTTTTTTGTGTGTGTGTGTGTGTGTGTGTGTGTGTGTGTGTGTGTGTGTGTGTGTGTGTGAGAGATTGTCTTATATAATTTTAGAAGTCCTCAGTGCTAGAATTCAGCATAGTTTCTTCTCCCTGTGGCCTGATTTTCCCTGAAGCTGCAACTACAAGCTCCTTTCTTGCTATAAAGACTGATATGTTTGAGGGAAACTCAGCTGAGCCCATGGTGACTTTGGCCCAAGGTCCCAGATGTCCCTGCTAGAGATAATACAGAGGGACACATTTTCTATTCTGTTTCAATTTAGAGGCATTTCTGACTTATTAGTAAATAGCCAGGTGCCCACATAGCTGGGTGGAGAGCATCTGGGGAGTGGACTCCCCGGAGTGCCCAGATGCCCCATGCACATTGCCTAATGTCCTGGGCTCTGCAGAACTTTCACAAAATTAACACGCTCACCAAATATGTTTTTCTTGCTCATTAACTCGATAAAGCCCACTGGTTTTTTAGAATCACAGCAGCAAGTTGTAAATGATGTATGAAATGAAAAATCTTTTCTCACCCAGTGAACAGGGAGAGAGCGCTGACGGTGCCCATCACTGCTGACGGTGCCCATCACTGCTGACGGTGCCCATCACTGCTGCTGCGGCTGCAGTAATGTCTAGACATGAGTTGTCCTGTAGCGGTGGAGACCCCAGAAGCAGACAAGGATGGCCCAAAGTTTCCCTCTTCCTTCACTCACTGTGTCGGGGAGTCCAAGACAATGTGGTTGGAAGAATCTCACAAGGTGGCTGCTCTCTGGGGACAGTATGGCCTGTAGTCTACAGGGGGAGTTGGTGTGTCCCTCGTGGGTGCACTATGCAACTTTGCTCTTTCACATTTAGCCTTGTTCTGGGTCAAACAAGTTTTCCTGGATTTCATTTCTTTGTACATTATAAAGGAGTGAATATTTGCGTGTTCATATACCCAGAAATGGGTCAGGCATCGATGAGGAGAAAATGTACATAAAACTTAGATAGGTCAAAGACAGGGACTCAGACTCTGCCCCTCGACTCCCTACAAACCAGTCACTCAGAACGATAATTCAACATTTTTCTCCCAAATGGAATAATTTTGTTGTCTTCTTTTATGTGTGTGTGTGTGTGTGTGTGTGTGTGTGTGTGTGTGTGTGTGTGTGTGTGCGTGTGTGTGTAACTGCCTATGTATGTGCAGGTGAGCCTGTATGTGTAGATATGCAATGTGTACATGTGCACATGTGTGTGGAGACTAGAAAACAACCCAGACTCCAATTCCTCTAGCTCTGTAATGGTTATTCTTACCCTGACTATGCAGGCACCATCCACCCTTTGGAAACAGGGTCTCTCATTGCCCTGGAACTTGCCAAGTAGGCTAGGCTGGATGCCTAGCAAGCCTGGGGTATCTTCCTGTCTCCATCTCCACAGTTCTGGGATTACAAGTGCACACAAAATTCTGCTTTTTATAGACAAGTGTGTGTTATGAGGCTTGAACTCAGGTCCTCACGCTTCCAGGGCAGACACTCCACCGTTTGAGCCATCCCTCCAGGCCCTCATGATCTTACTGTTATTGCCCTTTGTGTTGTTCTGTTTCATGCTTCACAGTGGAAAATACACTATTACATGTTCACCTAGTATTTTTCTTTTCACGGTCTCACTGTGTATCCCTAAGATGGCATGAAACTCGCTACGTAGAGTAGGCTAGCCTCGAACTTTACCTACCTCTGCCTCTGCTGGATTAAAGGTGGCCGTCACTAGTGCCTCATCTTATGTCAACTTGACACACGAATTGGAGTCATCTGAAAGGAGGAACTAAGAAAATGCCTCCATAAGATCAGGCTGTAGGCAAGTCTAGAGGGCATTTTCTTAATTAGTGATTGATGGCAAGAGCCCAGCCTATTGTGGGTGGTGCCATCCCAGGGCTGGTGGTCCTGAGTTCTATAAGAAACAGGCTGAGCAAGCCGTGGGAAGCAAGCCAGTAAGCAGCTCGCCTCCATGACCTCTGCATCAGCTCCTGCCTCCAGGTTCCTGCCCTGTTTGCGTTCCTGTCCTGACTTCCTTCGACAATGAACAGTGATGTGGAAGTGTAAGCCATATAAACCTTTTCCTCTCCAACTTGCTTTTTTGGTCATGATGTTTTGTCATAGCAATAGAAACCCTAAGTAAGACAACTAGTTTTGTAAATCATGCTTGTTTACTGCTCTTGAGGGGGAAGATGGACAATGTGGGAAGGCGATTTTCAAGGAATCAGTCTTATGGGGATGGACTAACCCTGACGTCTATGCTGAGTGCTAATTTACCATTCTGGAATGCCTATGTCAGCAGTCAGGCTGCATGATGAGGAGAGAGTTGTGTGGGGGCATGCACTTCTGACCAGGGGATTGGCGAAAGAGCCTGAATGCTTGCTGACATCAGGCTTTCAGAGGTAATGCTGTTGACTTCTTCAGAGAAGAAGCCTTGCCTGGCTGTTACATCCATGGGCCGGAAAGCCCTTCCCTTCAATCAAGACCGAAGGGTTTCCTTGTATCTTGTTTCCATGATTGTCAAGCTCATCTCATCTGAAATTGTCTTTCTTTAGGTGTTTGATCATCTGTGTTACTTTCTTATCTACCTGCCTGTGGGTTTTTCTCAAACTTCAGGAGGCTTCACTGTCTCTCCGAACTGTGGCTTTCACATCCACAGCCCAGATTCAAAGGACAGTGTCAGCTCTAAACTTCTGTGTCTCACTCTTTTGTCCCTACCTGTCATATTGTGATGGTGGCTGCACACCCGCTGTGCTGTACCAGAGAGGGCAGAACCAGTATCAGAACTTCCAGCACCACAAGCAGGAGTTGACTGACTGAATAACTGGGGACTCTGTGTCTCTCTTTGGACCAGATTCAGGGTAGATCCCTGGAACATAATTTTCACCCTCTCTATCCCTATTCTGGCCACCTAACAGCAATAGCCATCTAATGACTTGGGCTGTATGACTATAAACAGATTGAGGTCGTCTTGGGGGACAGAAGTGATTGAGGCCCAGCTTAGGGCTGAGCTTTGTCCCTCTTCATGGCAAGTGTCTATTGTCACATTGTTCTAATTTCCTCTCTTTCTGTGATAAAAACACTGACCAAAAACAACCAAGGGGAGGAATGGGTTTATTTCAGCTAAAGGTTACTTATAGTCCATCAGTGAGGGACGTCAGGGCAGGAACACAAAGAAGAAACCATGGGGGAATCCTACTTGCTGGCTCCATTGCAGGCTCATTGTTTGTTGGCTTTCTTTTTTTTTTTTTTTTGGTTTTTCAAGACAGGGTTTCTTTGTGTCGCTTTGTGCCTTTCCTGGAACTCACTCTGTAGCCCAGGCTGGCCTCGAACTCACAGAGATCCTCCTGGCTCTGCCTCCCAAGTGCTGGGATTAAAGGCGTGCGCCACCACCGCCCGGCTTGTTGGCTTTCTTATACAGTGCAGGACCACCATTCGCAGGGAATGGTACCACCCTTAATGGACAGGGCTCTCCCTTATCAATTAATAATCAAGACACCCCCAACATGCCCACAGGCTACTATGATCCAGACAATTCCTCAATCAAGCCTCCCTTCTTAGATGACTCTAAACCAGTCGGGTTGACAGTTAAGGTTAACTAGGCCACACGATGAAGACCGGCTCAGTCCCCTACCTCACGGTTTGCAAAGGCAGCTGAAATCAGAGAAGAGACTGAATCAAGGTTGGTTTTGGCGGCTGTGGGTATCTATGTTTATTCCTCTTCACAAAAATGCCTGTAGCTCAAAAGCTTCTTACACCCCCATCAGTATACTGAGTGCAGACTTAAAGAGATGACAGGTCGTGGTAAAGAGCTTGTCACAGACATCACGACTCTGCAAATACTAGGAAGACCTTTATCTGGGGACCTGGGGAATGACGGTGTTTTTAGGAGACAGCTCTTCTGTGACTTGATATTCACGGCAGTGAGCCCATTAGTTTCTGTCTTTTCTGTAGACCTCAATGCTTCAGAGCCAATGCCATTTTGCATGAAGATGAGCAGATACCAGTCTGGATCCATCCAGATGTTTCAACAGCTGCCAACCGTGAAATAACAGGTTTAGACAATAGTAACTCAGAAGCTTTCTAAGGTAAGTCAACCCAGAGTGGCTTTGAAGTGCCTTGACAGATGTGCAACAGAGAGCCTGGAGGTAGGGGTGAGTACCGTGGTGGTAGCAGCAAGCCTTTAGCAGGCAGGGTGCCTGGCAGAAGGTTAGGGACTCTTTAAAACCACAAGGGGAGTAGGCGTGGACCACAACAGCAAAGGAATATGGGATTGATGGAGGGAGTGGAAGACAAAGGTGATATGTCGGCTATAGAAGATGCTCAGCTTAGAGCATAGAGTTACTGCTGAGGCTGTCTGCGATGTTTAGACGCCCCCCGTCACCCAGAATGGCGGTGCTTTCAATATTGTTTTTCCCTTTAGAGAGATCCTGAAAGGAAGTGGCTTGGATGTTACCCTTTACCACACTTCATTCACCCCAGAAAGCACGTGGGGCTTTGCAGTTTACATATGTCGACACACTCAGCCTTTGAAGCAAGGCACAGAGAACCAGCTAGAAAGACATGGAAATAAAAAGCTGGCATCCTGCCTCAGTGCAACCCTCACTTCAAGGCAAACTTTCTGCTTGGCCTGAGTTGAAAAGATGTTGCCTGCGTGCACACAGGACTTGGTTTAAAGTTGTTCTCTGCAGAATGCCCTGTAATCAAAGGGGACATCGCCCCTTAAGTTTTGAGCATGTCAGACATACATTTCACCCAGTAGGACACTAATGCTAACAGGGGATGAGATACACATGCATATTTATGACACTCACCTCATGTTTCTGGAGCCTCTCTTGCAGGAACTCAAAGGCTTTGCAAATTTTCCCTCAGGGATCTGCATGCTAGGGAGGTCCCTGAGAGCGTGGGTTGCACATTTCCTCTGGGCAGGCTGCATGGAGCCACATTGGAACCTCCTTGGGGCCTTCCTGCTCCTCTAGCCCCCAAGAATACGACTCTCACCGCCTGGTGACAAGCCATCCAATCATGAAATTCTTCCCACTCCTACAGAAGCCATTCTGTTTGTTCTTTCATCTTTGAAGAGGCTTTCATAGTCTAATCGTATCATGTGCACCTGAGTGGCTCCACGGCCTCTTCCTCAGCACTCTCTTCTGTAATCACACTGAGCATGCTCAGTCCATCTCAGGAGGGGCTGGTTGAATGACTTAATTTTACACTGTGAGGCAATGAAGGATGTGGCTGTGGGGAGCTAATCATCCCCAATGCACTTAAATCTCCGCCCCATTATTTCCTGGCCTCAGGAAGCTTCATTTTCTTCTCTTTAAAGTGGGAATCATGTTGGTCCCAACCCCGAGTTCTTATGAGGACTTGGTGAGACAATAAGGAGTTTTGCCTTACGGTGTCTGGAATATAGCTATTCTCTTCCTTGTATCCTGAAGCAGATGTGTCTGTGAGAGGCTGTGTATGAGTTCCAGCCTGGAGCAGGCAGTGCTGGAGCATGATTCTTTGCACATCTTCTCATCAATGTCAATGTCTTCCCTTGTGATTGACACTCACCATCAAATATTTAGGAATGAATGAACTGAGCCAGGCATGATGGTGCAGACCTGTGAGGAAGGCTGAGGCAGGAGGATCATGAGTTTGAAGATAGCTTTGGGCATGTTGTGCCAAGTGAAATAAGCCCATGACAGAAGGAAAAACAATGTATGAGTCCACGCCTATGGGGACCTTGAGTCACAGGCAGAGGATGAAGAGTCTTCAGGGGCTGGAGAAGGGGAGTGGTGGGTATATGCTCCACAGGGACAGAGTCTCCATGTGGGATGAGGACAAAGCTCTAGAGATGGATGGTGGTGGTGACCGCACTCACACTCTGAAAGTGTGCACACTCCAAAATGGCTGGCTAAGGTGGTTTTGTTTTGTGTGTATCTTACCACAACAAGAGAAGAATATCTAATAAGTAATTTTGCAAAGAGAAACTCCTTAAATAATGTAAATAATTAGGTTTTTAGTTTTACTGAGGTACATTCTCTGTCTATCAGGTGATCTGTCCTTCCATTTATCCATCTATCCATGCATCATGAACACACTCTATACTTGCTCTGTATTGGACATTTCAGAATCTCATAAGGACAGTGAAGGACATCACAGTCTTGGTAATCTGTCTATGGAAAGGATGTCCTGAAATATATAGAATAGATTGTCTGTGAACAATAGGTCATTTGCTCCTCATGACACCTGACAGAGGCAGGAAAGAGAATGAAAGTTGGAACGATCTGGGAGGGGAGGGCCAGAGGAGAAAGGGAGGCCTCTCAAGATGAGGGAAATGGTTGGGTCCATGGCTCAGCTGAGCTGCCACAAGGCATGCTGGGTGGGCTGATTTTCCTCCTGCTGTAGCAGAGTACTTGATAAAAACAATGCAAAGCTGGGAGGGTTTGATCTGGCTCACGGTGTCATAGCGGAAGTCACCGTGGTGGGGGTGGCTTGCAGTGATGGGCACGTGAGTGTGAGGCAGCTGGCTACGTCTCATTGGCAGTCAACAAAGAGCTCTGGCTGGAACCAAGGAAGAGTTATAAGGCCCAAGGCCTTCCCCAGTGACCATATGTTTGTCAGCTTGGCCCCACCTCCTAAAGGTTCCCCAAGCTTATCCGTAAAGATGGCTCTAGAGGTATCCAGTCTTTAGTTGGGGGGCTCTGAAGTAGCTGCTGAATCATCAGAAGAGGTAGTTGTGCCAAACATTGCCGTTAGAGTGAATGAATGTTTCTTTCATATGAAATTTATATTAAAGTACAACTGATTTTACAGGTTTTTTTTTTAAAAAAAAAGATTAATAGCATACTTGAAAACTGTCAGGTGGATGTACTCAGCTTTCAGTGAGTCTAGGTTTGAATCCCAGTGTCAACATTGTGTGAGACATTTGAATCACTGTGTGTCTGTTTCTATATGGAGGGTGGGGTTTATGATAATGGAAACATCATCACACTGTTCAAGGGCATGACACCCGTGGCGGGCTCTGAATATGTTCCACAGCACTTGTGAGGAATGTGCGAGGCACCTTTTAAATAAAGCCGAACGCAGCTGAGAAGGCCCGCCATTCGCCAGCGTGGTGATGGGGGATTGGATTTGGCAGGGAATCTGCCATGTGACACATTACCACTGACTGGCTCTCTGGGGATGGTTTTTTGATACAGATGTTGGAGACATTTTCGTTTGCATTAATGAGTGCCCTCCCCCCCCAAAGTGAAAACAACACAGCTGAATTTCAGAACTTCATCAGATGTGAACATCTTTTTCTCTGAATTGGTGGTGGGCACAAACTACAGGTCACAGGTGAATCGCACTCTATAGTTTATCCTACATCTCTCTGCCAATTCATTTCTTATTTACTTGTAATTTTAATTATGAGGATTCATGAGGTACAATCTCATAACGTAATGCCTTCACAGATGTATGATTATCAAATCATGGTCTTGCTCATTCCCCTGTCCTTATGGATTTGCATGTGGATTTGAGTGTTTGTGCACATGTGTGTGTGCACAGCCATGTGGAGGTCTGGAGTTGACGCTGGAGGTCTTCTTAGACTGCTCTACTTTATTTCCTGGGTCAGGGTCTCTCTTTGAGTCCAGAGCTTGCCAGTTGCAGCTAACCCAGCTAGCAAGCTTGCCTCAGGGAGGCCCCGCCTCTTTCTCCTGAGATCTGGGATTAAAGGGGGTTGCCACACCCGCCTGGCTTTTAGTTGGGTCTGGGGACCTTAACTCTGGCCCTCATGTTTACATGGCAAGTGCTTTATTTCCTGAACCATCTCCCCAGTCCATGGGTTTTTACGTGAATGCTAGCGAGACCCAAACTCAGGTACTCATGTGCACACAGCAGGCACTTGACAGGCTGGTCCATCTCCCCAGCCTCCGTGAACAGTTTTTTGATCAACATGTAATGACTGGACATATTGATTGGGTATATCCACTGCTTTTTAAAATCTAGATCAAGGACGGGCAAAATAGCTTTTATGGAAGGGCCTAGGGGGTATGGTATTTTAACATTTCAGACTGAAATGCTTTGATGGTTGTAGAAGCAGCAGCAGAACAATCAGGTACCATGTGTGGATGAGCAGGTACCACTGAGTTCAAGGACAGTTTTATTCACAAAACAGGCGATGAGGCTGGGGAGATGGCTCAGCTGGGTAAAGGGGCTTGCTCCCAAGCGTGGAGACCTGAGCTCAAGAACTGACTCTTGGAAGCTGGCCTCGCACTTCCACACACGCACTGTGGCTCATGCACGCCCCACATGTGCATATGCACACACCCATATCCACTCCCCATCCCCCCTAAAAAAAGGTAAAAATAAAAATAAATATGTGGAGATCTCGCTAGACATTGAGGTTGTTAGATGTGCAGGGACTGTGGACTAGGAAAGGCCCCCTATGTCTGTCTAACTCTGGGCCTCTCTTCTGACCACATGTGAGGGATTCTCTGACACCAGGCAGTTCCTCACCTCTTGGGTATCCTACCACTAAACCCAGTTCTGACACTCTCTCTGGGGACATCTGCCAGTCCAGGCTGCCACTTGTATTTCACTGACTGGTTATACACCGAAGGTACCGTTGCCACCTCCTCAGGTTTTACCAAAGGCGACAAGGATTCACAGAACTCTCTGATGTTGTGCCTTTCCCTCCCTTCTGAGTTTGTTTCTCCCCTCTAGGAAGCTCTTGTTCACGGCAGAGGCCAGCTTAGCTCACTTCTCTTCCACTCCCAAATCCAGGGCTTCACTGATGTTTCACTCTTCCAAGTTTTGTATATCAACCAAAGAGTACCAGACAGAAGAAAATGTTAAGTTCCTTCTTTTCTACTCTGATGTGGTTTCCCACGTCTTTTAGGAAAGTTTCCTCAAGTTTGAGCTCAGAATTTTTATTAGATCTAATAAATCATATCAGAGATGGGAAGCAGATCTGAAGGAGATACATGTTAGAAGCCCGCTTTTCTCCTTAGATTATTCTGAGCCCAAGGTTTCAGAGACTCAGTGTGTCTGAATTCCACAGATGGGGCTCTTGGAAGATTCATTTCTCTCCTGAGGTCCCTAGGGTCTTCCCGACTTACAGCCTGAGCTAATGGAATGGGGTCCTGGAATGGAAGACTTATCCCACGCACATATGTTGAGAGTGAGCCTTGCTTCCTGGATAACCCATCAGCAAGTGAGATAAAGCCACAGATAAACAGCAGTAATCCTCTTTCCCTGGACTGTGGGACCTGCTCCAAATTGGAGGTCCAATGGGGGTTCCCCAAGTAAACAGTCTTGAAGATCGGCACATGGAGAGAAGTGTTAGATGAAAGCTGTATTCTGTGCTTAATTTTAATATTACTCTATAAGATTAGCAGAGATGAAATTTACCTTGGAAAAGAGAATGGACAGAGGCCACAGGGAGAGGAAGTTCTCTTTGACTTACAGTCTGTATAAGAATGAATTCCACTTTCCTGCCTTCTCTTCCTTCTTATTGGTGAAACACAGACCTCTCACTTGAGCTTTGAAGAGGCTGAGATTTGGGACCTGTGATGGTACTGAAGGATGTCATGGCAAGTGGACAACCTTCTGGTTGGTATTCCTTCTTAAGCCATAGTTCTGGACTGATCTTTTCAAAGGAACAGAGCTGGGGAGTGGAGTCCAATGTGCCTGCCTGTGACCATGTCATTTGGAAGCATGCTTTGAGGTCTACAGATGTGGTCTTTTTGGGGGGTGGGGGGAATGACTTTATTTTCATTGAATTTTAATAGAATCTATTCTGTGTTTGGTGGGCATCCTGACAAACTCCAGTAAAGCTTCCAACCTGGAGAATCCAGATAGGCTGGGACATTGTGTCATTTTTTTTTTCTCTCAGTTCCCTTTTATGCATTTATTTGTAAATTTTGATTGAGCTTCCATCTTTCAAAGTGTTGAAAACACACATGTAGCACCATTATGGTGAACATGTTACCAACAAATCTTGGGTGCTTCTACTGATGGGACAGGCTCCCAGAATCTTCTGGAATGTAGCAGCAAGCCATTACAAGCCATTACTGTCAGCTCATCTCTATGGAGGCAAAAGCGCAGGGTTATTTATAGAGTTC